TGCGGGATCTTCCCAGACCGGGGCACGAACCCGCGTCCCCTGCATCGGCAGGCGGACTCTCAACCACTGCGCCACTAGGGAAGCCCCAGGGATTTTTTGTTTTACCTAACTAACCACTCAGCGAGGCCTGCCTGACCACCCTCTAAAATCTCAGCAACCCGGCCCCCGCCCCTGCCACTTCCCAGCCCCTTCCCTGCGTTCTCTCTCTCTTAGTCCTGACTTCCATCCACAGTCCCATTGGCTACTTTGCCTCTTTATCGTGTCTTTTTTATGTCTTCCCTCACTAGGCTGTCAGCCCCACGGGGAAAGGGAGTTTTGTCTGTCACCGCTGTGTCCACAGCCAGATACACCACAGGCGCTCACTGAATTTTTGCCAAACGCCTGAGAGAATGCAGGGTTCACTCCAGGATCCTGAGCATAAAACTGGAAAAGGGAAGGAGGCCTGGGGCCAGCTCTACACAGCTCCTTGGGGATTCTAGAGTATGTCACTGGGTGGGGTCACTGAAAGCCTCGCGAAGAGTTTTGGGCAGGAGACAGGCGTGATCAGGTGGGTGGGCCAGGCCAGAAACACTTCATCCCCTCCCTCCCACTGTTTCTCTCTCAATCATCCATTCCAGGAATTCTCTGGCGGTCCCGGGGTTAGGACTGTGCTCTCTCACTGCCGAGGGTCTGAGTTCAATCCCTGGTCGGGAAACTAAGATCCCACAAGCTGCACAGAGCGGCAAAAGAAAAAAAAAAAGGAAAAAATCGAACATCCATTCCCCTCCAGCAATCTTGTCCCTCTTTCCCGCTTCCCGTCTCCCGACACCCCTGCATGGGCAGTCCCAGTCCAGCCTCTCTTTCCTCCTACCTCCTGCCTCCAAATTCTCCCTGCCCCCTTCACTCAGCACTGGCCTCAGGGTCCGTGATGTTCTCCGCCATGTGCCCAAGTACCTAGCACAGCGACTGACCCAGTTCCGACGCTCGTGGGGTCTCAGTCCTAGAGGGGTGACACTGAGCACGGTGGTCACGGGGACTGAGGGATTGTGATGAGGCCACTGCTCCACTGTCTTCACACCTGGAGGCTCTTTGTATTAGTTAGGGTCCAGCTCCACTACTCTTGACGGAGACAGCCCAGAATAAATACAGTGAGCTGAACAAGATCAGAATTGGAAAGGCCCTCAGCACCCCCTTCTCTCTGTCTCAGCACTGCAACCCACCCCCCCCCCCCCCCCCCCCCCCCCCCCCCCCCCCCCCCCCCCCCC